GAGGAGGAGGAGGAGAGGAGGAGGAGTAGGAGGAGGCGTAGGAGGAGGATGAGGAGGAGGTGGATGAGGAGGAGGAGGAGGAGGGGAAGGAGGATGAGGAGGAGGAGGAGGAGGGGAAGGATGAGGAGGAGGCGGAGGAGGAGGCGTAGGAGGAGGATGAGGAGGAGGGGGGGGGCAGGGAGGGGGCGGGCAGAGGACAACTGGCAGGGGGAGGACGAGGACGAGGGGCCCACGACGGCCGTGGGAGGGCTTTGCCTGGGACCTCTGCCGCCTGCTCTCCCTTCGAAGCCCCGCTCTGCCGCAGGGGAGGAGGTGGAAGGAGGAGGAGGAGGAGGGGAAGGAGGATGAGGAGGAGGAGGAGGAGGGGAAGGATGAGGAGGAGGCGGAGGAGGAGGCGTAGGAGGAGGATGAGGAGGAGGGGGGGGGCAGGGAGGGGGCGGGCAGAGGACAACTGGCAGGGGGAGGACGAGGACGAGGGGCCCACGACGGCCGTGGGAGGGCTTTGCCTGGGACCTCTGCCGCCTGCTCTCCCTTCGAAGCCCCGCTCTGCCGCAGGGGATGGGCCACGGCCGGTGCCCGGGCCGCGGCCGGCGCACGCCGGGCCTTCGCCGTCGGGGCCAGCGCCCGCGCTTCCCTGCGCTCCCTCTAAGGCGATCGCAAGCATGGATCAAGGGGGCGTGGATCAGCGACGGGCCCCGTTTTCATGGGGAGTCGCGGATTTCCGACGCCGCCGGCCGCATTTCGGGGAGGGCACCTCCCCACGATCGCTAATCCATGCTTGCGCGCCCCCGACTCGCGGCATCGCTGGCGGGAGGACGATGGTGATGATGATGATGATGATGATGATGATGATGATGATGATGATGATGATGATGATGATGATGATGATGATGATGATGATGATGATGACGATGATGATGATTATGCTGACGGATGATGATGACGGATGATGATGGTAGATGATTGTGCTGCTGTTGATGATGATGGTGATGATGATGCTGCTGCTGATTAATATGAATATTAATATGAAGATGAGGATGAACATGATGATGATGATGCTGATGGCGACGATGATGATGCTGATGATGATGACGAAGACGATGATGATGATGGTGGTGGTGGTGGTGATGTTGTGGTGGTGGTGGTGATTCTGATGATGATGGCGATGACGACGATGATGATGATGATGCTGCTGATGATGCTGATGATGACGATGACGATTATGATGATGATGATGCTGCTGCTGATGATGATGATGATGATGATTATGATGATGCTGATGATGATGATGATGATGATGATGATGATGCTGATGCTGATGATGATGATGATGATGATGATGATGATGATGATGAGGAGGAGGAGGAGGAGGAGGAGGAGGAGGAGGAGGAGGAATAATAAGAACAATGCCAATCATAATGAACACACATCATACGCACACACATAAGATAAGGAGGAGAGGAGGAGTATAGAGCTCGAGTCAAGTAGGCTAGCTCGAGCGAGTCAAGCATGGCATGCTTATTGCCACCCGCCCTCCCACAACATAAGAAACAGTGCTGACGCAGCTTGGGTCCGAAATCAGATCGGCAAGGTGGTTTGGCACAGCTGATGCAGCCGCGATGGCGGTTATCGATGAAATTCCTGGCGCGTCTCAAAGGCTGCGCTGGCATTTTAGCACGAGCCGAGGATGCCCCAGGAAGCCCCAGCGAACCCCAGGAGGCCCTAGGAGGTCCCATGAGGCTTCAGGAAGCCCTAGGAGGTGTCAGGAAGCCTCGGGGAATCCTAGGAAGCCCCAGGAGGCCTCAGGAGGCCCCAGGAGGATCCACGAGGCCCTGGGGAGGCCCCGGTGAGCCCGACGAATTGGTGAGCTGGAGGCCCCAGGAAGCCTCAGGAGGCCCCAGTAGAATCCACGAGGCCCTGGACTGGCCCCAGGAGACACTATCATGCCCCGGGATGTTCCAGGAGGCCCTGGGAGGTCCCAGGCGCCCAACGAATTGGCGAACGAACCACGTGCGCTGCGCCTGTGCGAGAGCGCAACTTTCAGAAAACATGCGCGCGGCGCCAACGCGAGAGCGATATTTCGCCCTGTCGCGCGAGACTGCGCCGTGCCCCATTCTTGTTACGCATTTCACAACGCCGACGACAAGAAAGTCCACGTTGAGAAGAGACAGGTCGACTTCGTATTGTTTTCCCGGAAAGGGCTTGAACCCAGGGTTCTCTTTTAGATGGTTTCCCCCCGGGTTTGACGGGAAGAGGGCCGGCGAATTTCTTTTGCGATAAATAACGAGTGGGAAGAGGGCCGGCGAATTAAAATTTGAGGATGTCCCTAGCGAAACGCTTGTTTTTCAGAATTTGTTGAGGATGTCTCGAGCGAAACGCTGGTTTTGCAGAGTTGGGGATGTCTCGAGCGAAACGCTTGTTTTCAGAATTTGTGGAGGATGTCTGGAGCGAAATGCTGCTTTTGCAGAGCCGACCGCGACGCGGAAAAGCGCCCCGCGCGCAGGAATTCCGATGATGTTTCGCGCGTGCCGCGTCGAGGATGTCTCGACTAATTCGTTTGTTTTACCAGGATTTCCTTGAATTTTGGTAGGATGTCTCGAGCGAAATGTTTGTCTTTCATAATTAGTTGAAGACGTTTCGAGCGAAACGCTGGTTTTGCAAAATTGGGGGATGTCTCGAGCGGGGGCCTCGTGGGGGGCCAGAATTCAGAGGATGCCTCAGGCGAAATGCTTGTTTTCACGTCCCGCTTGCAAGAATTCCGAGGATGTCTCGCGCGTGCCGCGTCCCGCGCGCAGGAATTCTGAGGATGTTGGCAGGATGTCTCGAGCGAAACGCTTGTCCCCAGCACGTTCCGTAGCGCGTCCCCTTGGCACGTCCCGCGGTGCGTCCCCATGGCACGTCCCTTGGCACGTCGCTTGGCGGGTCCCTTGAGACGTTCCGCATCGCGTCCTCCTGGCATGTCCCCTTGTCAATTAGCTCTGGGGCAGCTACTATGTGTTCAGGCAGCTCGAGCTTAAGATCCAGATCAGTTCGGTCAGGACTCGGATGCAAAGGAGGACTCGATCCACGAGGCTATAGAGCACAATCGCGGCATGGCACATCGCAATTCAGCACGGCGCAGCACAGCACAGATTTCGGCACGGTACATCAAGATCGATACACTCAGCATTGCAACTTGGCACGGTTCCTTGGCACGTTCCGTGGGGCGTCCCTTGGCGAGTCCCCCTGGCACGTCGCGTGGCGCGTCCCCTGGCACATCCCGTGGCACATCCATTGGCACGTTCCGTAGCGCGTCCCCTTGGCACGTCCCGCGGTGCGTCCCCATGGCACGTCCCCTTGGCACGTCGCCTGGCGCCATCCCTTAGGACGTCTCGCGGCGCGTCCTCCTGGCATGTTCCCCTGTCCAATAGCTCTTGGGCAGCTACTATGTGTTCAGGCAGCTCGAGCTTAAGATCCAGATCAGTTCGGTCAGGACTCGGATGCACAGGATGACTCGATCCACGAGGCTATAGAGCACAATCGCGCCATGGCACATCGCAATTCAGCACCGTGCAGCACAGCACAGCCCTCGGCAGGGTACATCAAGATCGATACAATCAGCATTGCAACCTGGCACGTTCCTTGGCACGTTCCGTGGCGCGTCCCGTGGCGAGCCCCCCTGGCACGTCGCGTGGCGCGTCCCCTGGCACATCCCGTGGCACATCCATTGGCACATCCCGTGGCACATCCCGTGGCACATCGCAATTCAGCACGGTGCAGCACAGCACAGCCCTCGGCAGGGTACATCAAGATCGATACCTTCAGCATTGCATTTGCCCGTCACCCAATCAGGTGTCTTTGAAAGCGCTGCTATGTGTTACAGTTCTATATTCCTTTCCGGGTTCGTGGGTCGATCATGTTTTGACTGGTAGGATGGCCCTTCCCGCTTGGGGTTGCCCCAGACGTCCGCGCGCGATGTGCGCCGCGTCCCGTTCCTGCCACGCATTTCGCATCTTCGACGACAGGATCGGCCATGATGAGAGAAACACAAAGACTTTGTATGGATCTTTACAGTTAGGATGGGAGGGCCCCGATTGACGGCCGCGTGCGATGTGCACCGCGTCCTTTTCCTGCTACGTATTTCGCATCGTCGACGACGAAAGGCCATGATGAGAGACAACGGCAACTTGGTATTGTTTTAAACAGTTAGGGTGGGAGGGCCCGGATTGACGGCCGCGCGCGATGTGCGCCGCGTCTTTTTCCTGCTACGCATTTCGCATCGTCGACGACAGGAAGGGCCATGTTGAAAGAAACAACGATAACTCGGTACTGTTTTTTTTTGCATTTAGGACGGGAGGGCCCAGATTGACGGCCGCGCGCGATGTGCGCCGCGTCATATTCGTGCTTCGTATTTCGCATCGTCGACGGCTAGACAGGCCATGTTGAGAGAAACAACGACGACTTGGTAGGGGGAGGGAGCCGTGGCGACAACGGGCGTGGGTGGGGCGGGGGGGGGACGGGGGGAGGGGGGCGGTCACGTCACGATTCGCGTTGGCGCGGCTGGGAATGCCTGAGTATAGCTCATGCCCAGGTGGCGGCGGTGCGAATCGTGACGTGACCAGGTGGAAGGGCGAGGGGGCAGGGCCAGTCCTGGGCGTTATCGCGAATGATACAACAAAGGACTATATCTAGCATGATGGACATGGTTGGCTTGTGAATGGAAATTGCAGCACATTATGGTTTATCATCCTGCAGCCAAGAGGGACTGGGTGTGTTTTTTTTGGAGCTGTTTCACGTTCTCATGGCAGTGGCATCGTCCAGGTTTCGACCAGTGACTGCGTTTTGTGTGCTTGTGCTTTGCCCACTATCCAAACTGCTAACTATTTGTTTGTCCGATGCGCATGTTAATAAACGAATCAGTAGCTTGAGGCGCATGGCTCAAGGGCCCGTTCGGTTTGAAGGGAGACGGCACGAATGCTGCAGAGCATCTGCAGGAAGTACAGCAACACTAGCAAGGCGTATCCTTTGGCCGCCAAGTGCTGCACCTCTTTCGCAGTTTTCGGATCGGCGGACGCCGCGTCGCAGCTCATTGTCAATCAAAGGGAAGACTTCAGCGTGATGCGCTCGGTACGTTTTGCCACAATTGGGGGCTGCGTGATGGCACCTCTGTTCACCGCATGGTACCAGTTCCTGGATCCTATGCTTCCAGGGAAGCAGTATTGGTACGCCAAGGTTTTGCTGGAATGCGTCAGCATTGGGCCTCTGTATTTGGGCGTCATGATTTGGACCAATGCGGCCTTGCAGGGCTTGTCACTATCCGAGCAAACTTTGAGAGTTCGTCAAGACTGGTGGCCTCTGTTTATCAATGCTCTCAAAGTTGTCCCAGCTTACCAGTCCGTAAATTTTCTTTTCGTGCCAGTCGAACATCGCATCCTATGGCTCAACGCGTGCCAGTTCATGTGGAATGTCTTCGTGGCTTATTCGGTGGCCAGCCGCAGCTCGGAGTAGGTCTGGAGAGGCGATTTCTTGCTACTGACAAGGCGCGCAGAACAGTGAGTACGGACTCCAAGGGAACCGATTCTAGAATGACGGTCGGATAACATATCGTATTGCTTCTCTTTGAGATGTTCAAGCGGGTAAGGGAGGGAAGACTTACGGCAATGAGAAGATTGCATGGGTGGTAGAACGCCTCTCAAGATGACTCGCCCACTGCCTCTTGCGGCAAGGGCTCGTGACTAGCTCCTTGACTGGTACGCGAGTGGAGTTTTTATTCGTAGTGGTCGCGGGCCATCCTCCAAGTATTGGGGACACCTCTTACCGTTCCACGTCTCAAAATGGTTGCAGGATGCCTTGGACGCGCCCCGTGTGGTCGAACTCATAGATGACGAGAAATTCTTCACGCTGCGCGTATCCCCACCAGGCCCGCCCGGACTTGACTCGCCGCTATGCGCTCTCGCCTGCGGCTGCAAACAAAAAGTATCCCCACCAGCCTGTTCTGTTTTTTCCTTAGCTTGTGGCACAGCCTGCCCCTGCTTGCACGGCGTTCGACTCGTTTCGCGCGCCCGCGTACCCAAAAATATCCCCACCAGCCCGTTCAGAAACGTTGCCCGTGAGAGCTGACGGACAAAGGATGAATAGACGCGCATCCGGTGGGGGCGTTGATGAAGGAATGTGCCCAGGAGGCTGCAGATCCTGGAGGGTTCCTTACCTGATGAGGGCGGCGAAGATATCCATGGCCGATCCACGGTTCGAGTTCCACCAGCTTCCAGACCCTGGATCCCTTATCTAAGGGTTCCTTGTCCAATGCCCCTACCATAGTGAAACAAGGCGGGCAGTCACGACGAACAGAGAGATCTCTGGGAGCAAGGGGGTGGCCTTGGAGGGCCTCCTCGGGCCATCCCCGTGGCTCGCGGCGGGGCGAGGGTAGGAGGAGGAGGAGGAGGAAGAGGAAGAGGAGGAGGAGGAGGAGGAGGAGGAAGAGGAGGAGGAGGAAGACGAGGAGGAGGAAGAGGAGGAGGAGGAAGACGAGGAGGAGGAGAAGGAGGAGGAGGAGGAGGAGGAGGCGGCTAACCGCCTCTCGGTGCCCTCGGTGGGCGCTCGTGAGGCGCTCTTGAGCGCCCTTAGGGCCGTCTCGGGGGCGTCATGGGGCCCTCCGGGGGCCCTCTTGGGAGCCCTGTAAGACTTTTTGGACCATCGTGTCGAGGGTCGATGAAAAGAGGGGGGTCCTCGATTTCTGTCCCCCCCTGCGGCTGTCAAAATCGCCACTTGGGGTCCTCTTGGGGCGCTCTTGGGCCGCTCTTGGGCGCTCTTGGGGCCGTCAGGGGTGCCTCTTGGGCCCCTCTTGGGCTTCCCTTTGGCCACCCTGGGGCCATCTTGAGGGGTCAAAAGTGCATCGCAAGCGATAAGGCGAGAAGGCACACATCATTGGTTTTCCTGAGGTTCTCGGAAGGTTTTTGACATCTGGGGGGATCCATCCTGAGGAAGCTCCGAGAGCACTTGGCACCGTCTTGTGGCCCTCGTCGGGCCTCCTTGGAGGTATGCTGGAAGCTATCTTGAACCATCATGGGCTATCTTGAGCCATCTTGGAGGCCATCTTGGAGCATCAGACGCCCTCTTGGAGCCATCTTGGGCCATCTTGGGCGCCCTGACACCTCGCGGTCAGCCCACAAAACCTCAGGGAGGAGAGGGGAAGGGTACGAATCCACGAAGGGACTATTACTTTGGAAAAGAAGACAGAGATATTGTTAGACCACCGTAGCCCAAAGAGCGGCGGCTTGGCTTTAACTGTGCTTTTGACATTCTCGCTCTCGGCCACGGCCCTGCGGACCTGTAATTTTTTGGGAGGCATCGTGGACTCAGAAGCACCGTCGCCCCCTGCCTTTTTGGAAGCGCCTATGTGGCCGAACGTTGAGGCCAGACCTGCCAAGCTATCGGACCATGTGTTCCCCAAGTTGGTTTGGAAAGCCTTCGGGGAACACGTGGGCATCTTGAAGGTCATCTTGGCCGTCTGGAGGCCATTTTGACCCTTTCGGGCCTTCTTGGAGGACGTCTTGGAGGGCTCTTGGGCCGTCTTGGAGGCCATCTTGAGCGTCTTGGAGGCCTCTTGGGCTGTCTTGGGGGCCTCTTGGGGCCGTCTTGGGCCTGTTGGGCGATCTTTGGGGGCACTTCGGCCGTCTCGGGCCGTCGGAAGGCCGAAAAAAAATATATGCCACAATCCTTCAAAAACTCATGGGAAATCAACGATTTTGGCCTTTCCTGGCCTTCCTGGAGGCCCTCTTGGAGGCCTCTTGGGCCGTCTTGGGCCCATCTTCGGCCGTCTTGATGGGCTCCTGGCCCGTCTGACGCCGTCGGAAGCCGTTGGGGGGGCCTGTCTGGGCCGATTTGGGGCCCTCTTGGAATGCTCCAGGGCCGTCTTGGGGGCCATCTTGGGCATCTTAAAGGCCTCCTGGGCCGTCTTGGGGGCCTCTTGGGGCAGTCTTGGGGGCCTCTTGGCCCGTTCTGGGGCCATCTTGGAGGCCCCTTGGGCGATCTTTGGGCGATCTTTGGGCGATCTTTGTTGGGGGCTGTCGGGCCGTCTCGGGCTGTCGGAAGACCGAAAAGAAGCAAAAGTCAATTTCCTTCAAAAACCTTAGGACAATTAGTGTTTTTCCCGGAAAGGGCGTGGGCCCAGGGTTCTCTTTTAGTGGGTTTACCCCCCGGTTTTTACTTGAAGGGGGCCGGCGGATTTCTTGCGCGATAAATTGCGAGGTCGAAGGGGGCCGGCGGATTTCAATTGTGAGGACGAAGGCCATTTTTCGCCACCTCTCACGCAGATCGTGCTCTTAGAATTTTACTGCCTTTAAGGAAACCTCGATATTTCACAGGTGAAGTCCACTTTTTTCCGACATCGACTTTCAACGATAAAAAACGAGGTAAACGCGTTCGCTCGATAAATAACGAGGTACCGCGGCCTCCGGAACGGCGCTGGGAACGGAGTTTTGGATTCTTGAAGTTGCATAAGTTCGGAAATAGCAGAAATCCCCTGTGTTTTTGGACCCTGACCCCGCGGATCTGCGTGAGGGATGGCACAGAATTTCAGAAATGTGGCAAATCACCTGTGTTTTTGTACCCTGACCCCGCCGATCTGCGTGAGGGGTGGCGCGGAATTCCAGAAATGTGGCAAATCCCCTGTGCTTTTGGACCCTGACCCCGCCGATCTGCGTGAGGGGTGGCACGGAATTCCAGAAATGTGGCAAATCCCATGTGTTTTCGGATCCTGACCCCGCCGACCTGCGTGAGGGGTGGCACCGAATTTCAGAAATGTGGCAAGTCCCATGTGTTTTCGGACCTTGACTTCGCCCGGGAGGGCCTAGGAGGCTTCAGGAGAGCCCAGGAGAGCCCAGGAGGGCCCAGGAGAGCCCAGGAGGGCCCAGGAGGACCCAGGAGGGTCTAAGAGGCACCAGGGGGCCCAAGGAGGGCCCAGGAGAAGCTCCAGGAGGCTCCAGGAGAGCACAGGAGGGTCCAAGAGGTCCAAGGAAGACCCAGGAGGGCCCAGGAGCCCTTACGAGGGATCGTGGCCCTGGGAGCGCTGACGTAGCGTAATTTACGAGGGATCGTGGCCCTGGGAGCGCGGGTGTAGTGTAATTTTTGAGGATGTCCCTAGCGAAACGCTTGTTTTTCAGAATTTGTTGAGGATGTCTCGAGCGAAACGCTGGTTTTGCAGAGTTGGGGATGTCTCGAGCGAAACGCTTGTTTTCAGAATTTGTTGAGGATGTCTCGAGCGAAACGCTGGTTTTGCAGAGCCGACAGCGACGCGGAAAAGCGTCCCGCGCGCAGGAATTCCGATGATGTTTCGCGCGTGCGGCGTCCCGCGCGCAGGAATTTCGAGGATGTCTCGACTAATTCGTTTGTTTTGCGGGATTTCTTTGAATTTTGGCAGGATGTCTCGAGCGAAATGCTTGTCTTTCATAATTTGTTGAAGACGTTTCGAGCGAAACGCTGGTTTTGCAAAATGTTCATAATTTGTTGAGGATGTCTCGAGCGAAACACTGGTTTTGCAAACTTGGGGGATGTCTCGAGCGGGGGCCTCGTAGGGGGCCAGAATTCAGAGGATGTCTGAGGCAAAATGCTTGTTTTCACGTCCCGCTCGCAGGAATTCCGAGGATGTCTCGCGCGTGCCGCGTCCCGCGCGCAGGAATTTCGAGGATGTCTTGACTACTTCGTTTGTTTTGCCAGGATTTCCTTGGATTTTGACTGGATGTCTCGAGCGAAACGCTTTTCCCCAGCACGTTCCGTAGCGCGTCCCCTTGGCACGTCCCGCGGTGCGACCCCATGGCACGTCCCTTGGCACGTCGCTTGGCGCGTCCCTTGAGACGTTCCGCGGCGCGACCTCCTGGCATGTCCCCCTGTCAATTAGCTCTGGGGCAGCTACTATGTGTTCAGGCAGCTCGAGCTTAAGATCCAGATCAGTTCGGTCAGGACTCGGATGCAAAGGAGACTCGATCCACGAGGCTATAGAGCACAATCGCGCCATGGCACATCGCAATTCAGCACGTGCAGCACAGCACAGCCCTCGGCAGGGTACATCAAGATCGATACAATCAGCATTGCAACCTGGCACGTTCCTTGGCACGTTCCGTGGCGCGTCCCGTGGCGAGCCCCCCTGGCACGTCGCGTAGCGCGTCCCCTGGCACATCCCGTGGCACATCCATTGGCCCGTTCCGTAGCGCGTCCTTTTGGCACGTCCCGCGGTGCGACCCCATGGCACGTCCCCTGGCACGTCGCCTGGCGCATCCCTTTGGACGTTTCGCGGCGTGTCCTCCTTGCATGTTCCCCTGTCAATTAGCTCTGGGGCAGCTACTATGTGTTCAGGCAGCTCGAGCTTAAGATCCAGATCAGTTCGGTCAGGACTCGGATGCACAGGATGACTCGATCCACGAGGCTATAGAGCAAAATCGCGCCATGGCACATCGCAATTCAGCACGGTACAGCACAGCACAGCCCTCGGCAGGGTACATCAAGATCGATACCTTCAGAATTGCATTTGCCCGTCACCCAACCAGATGTCTTTGAAAACGCTGCCATGTGTTACAGTTCTATATTCCTTTCCGGGTTCGTGGGTCGATCATGTTTACCTTTTCTGGCCTTCCTGGAGGCCCTCTTGGAGGTCTCTTGGACCGTCTTGGGCCAGCTTCGAGCCAACTTCGGCCATCTTGGTGGGTTCCTGGCCCGTCTGACGCCGTCGGGAGTCGTTTTGGGGGCCTCTCGGAACCGGCTTGGGGCCCTCTTGGGGCGCTTCGGGGCCGTCTTGGAGGCCATCTTGGGCGTCTTGGAGGCCCCTTGGCCCGTCTTGGGGCCCTCTTGGGGCCGTCTTGGGGGCCTCTTGGGCCGTCATGGGGCCATCTTAGAGGCCTCGTGGGTGCTCTGGGGGCGATCTTGGGGGCCTCTGGGGCCGTCTTGGACAGCGGGAAGGCTTCAGAGAGCATATGTCAAAATCATTTAAAATCAAAT